CTACTACAATGCAAAACACCCTCAGCAATGTAACGGAGTATCAACTATGTCAACAAGTCCCTCATCAGGTTTGAACCCACAACCTTCCAAGTTGGGGCAAAAGTGCTACCAACTGTGCCAGGCTGGTAAACTCTACTTTTAAGAGTAGACTTTGGGAGGGGGGAGAAAGTGACGGTTAGAACCCTAGTTATTTAAACTAAGTTTTTTTTGCACTCAATAAATCAGCGATTTGTCCATTTCACTTCAAAAGAGTTATAAACTCTGTGTCCAGGATTATAAATAAACATAGACTTTTAGACATTAAATAAAATCAAACAACAAACAAAATCAACAAAATTACAGATTATTAATATTTCAGTGAATCAATGGGGTAGTTGTCACATGTTCCATAAAGGCACAGTACACTGAGATAATAATCCTTGCATTCAATATAATGCCTTTCATTTCAAAGGGGCATCTTAAAGTGCCACACATGGTTCACTGTAAAATGTAGTGACTAGATTCGCAACAAATGCAGCACCTGATTATGCGCACAGCAATGTCCCCCAAAAGCCATAAAGTGAATGACCAATTTTATTTGGGGGACTGTTAGCCAGGTCACCCGTAGAAACTTATTTCTCTTTTTAAACTAGTGCCATGGGATTTTTAACGTCCACCTAAACTGGCAGACAGAAATTTGGTTTAAAGTCTCAGCGAAGGAAGGCACCACCAAAAGCGCAGTGCTCCCCCAGTGCTCACTTGACTTGCAAGTTCAAAGGCCCAATGTGGGGCATGAACCCACAACCTTCTGAATCAAAGTGGAGAGTGCTACCAACTGACACCTGATGCTCAGAACCTGTCGGTTCGGTGATAGGACCGTCAAAACTAACAGTGAAATATAGAATGCATTTTTACTTCAATACCTTTGGCAATTGCCATGTTTTGCTGACGATAAATTATCTCAGCCCTGGAAGGAAATAAGCAACACAAGGTCGGCATGTTATTCCCAGCCCATAATTCAGGATTTGGGAAGCTGCACGGGTCGAGGATGTTTCGCTGTCGCCGAATATTAAGCAAAAAATTTTTTTGTGACATTACCCAAATTATGGCTAACACTTACTCCACAGAAGCCCTAAGTGAATGGACAAGAGATGCTGCAACTTTAACCCTTTCCTCATCCCCCCCCCCCCCCCCCCACCAAAGAAAAGCCTCTTGAAATAATTGAAGATTACACAAAGGATTAACAAACAACAGAGAACCCATCGTCAGAAAGAAAGAAAACAATGTGATGGGATTCCTCGTGCAGGAAAACAAAAAACAAGGGGAAGGGGGGGTTCGTGTAACGACAAACCACAGCTCTGTCACTCTCGAAATGAGTGTCTGACTGACTTCTCGCTGACGTGTGCGATTCAATGCACTCTGACATCTTCTTGTGTTTGGGGGCTGGTGGTGGGGGGGACACAGAGACAGAAAACTCCTGTGAAGCCAATGTGATGTGTGATGAGGTAATTCAGCAGATGAGCGACAGTATCCACAGGAGAGAGAAAAAAACATGCAACGGCCGAGTATCTGCAGACAGATGCTCAGTGTACCTAATTCCCACCATCCACACCTGGTCTTCACTCCACACACACACACACCACACACACAGACACACACACCACACACACACAGACACACCACACACACACACCACACACACACAGACACACCACACACACACAGACACACCACACACACCACACACACACACCACACACACCACACACACCACAGACACACCACACACACCACAGACACACCACACACACACAGACACACCACACAGACAGACACACCACACACACAGACACACCACACACACAGACACACCACACACACACCACACACACAGACACACACCACACACAGACACACACAGACACACCACACACACACAGACACACCACACACACACACCACACACACAGACACACCACACACACAGACACACCACACACACCACACACACAGACACACCACACACACAGACACACCACACACACAGACACACCACACACACAGACACACCACACACACAGACACACCACACACACAGACACACACAGACACACACACACACAGACACACCACACACACACACCACACACACAGACACACCACACACACAGACACACCACACACACCACACACACAGACACACCACACACACAGACACACCACACACACACACACACAGACACACCACACACACAGACACACCACACACACCACACACACAGACACACACAGACACACCACACACACACAGACACACCACACAGACACACCACACACACCACACAGACACACCACACACACAGACACACCACACACACCACACACACAGACACACCACACACACCACACACACAGACACACCACACACACCACACACACAGAGACACACACAGACACACCACACACACAGACACACCACACACACAGACACACCACACACAGACACACCACACACACACCACACACACAGACACACCACACACACAGACAGACACACACACACAGACAGACACACACCACACACACAGACACACCACACACACAGACAGACACACACACACACACAGACACACCACACACACACACACACACAGACAGACACACACACACAGACAGACACACAGACACACACACACACCACACACACACACACAGACACACACACTACACACACACACACACTACACACACACACATTTTTTAAAGCAAACCCTCCCATCAAAAATTGCCACAGGAGCCTCCCGACCACACAGCAAAAAAAAAAAATCAGCCCCAGAAACTCAAACCAGAGACCGAACGACAGTCGCACAGCCAACAGATCCGCACCTGAAAAGTGACCCTCTTTTTTTTTTTGGAGCGGATGATCCGTCTCTCAGTGATGTTCAGTGACAGAGACTGACTGACAGACAGACAGACAGACAGACAAGACATGTGCATCTCTGGTCGTCGTCAATTAAGTATAATTTGCCATCTCTCCTCCCGTGACTCTTACACTAAGATCAGCTGCTTAACTGCCAACACTGACCCTCCACAAACTGTATTAATTCCTCTTCTTTCTCTCTCTCTCTCTCTCTCCCTCTCTGACTCCACACGTTGTAGTGCAGCCAATGCTGTAGCAGTCACCAAGAACCATCTCTCACACACTCATCCTCACCCCCTCCTCTCCCTCTCTCCCTCTCCCTCTCTCTCTCTCTGTCACCCACCCACCAGCTATGCATTGGCAAAACAAGTGGATTCGGGGCACTTAACAACACAACACACGTTTCAGTCCTTGACACATCATTCCGAAGTCAAAAAAAGAGAAAGCAGCTGAAAAGTCGAGAAGCCGTTGACTCCGGTTCCCCAAAAGAGACTGCAAACAGCCAACAGCAAACATTCAAACACCCCCCACTCCCCCCACCCACCACCACCATCACCCACCACCCCCTCCCCACCACCACCATCACCCACCCCCCCTCCCCACCCACCACCATCACCCACCACCCCCCCCACCCCCCCCCACCCACCACCATCACCCACCACCCCCTCCCCACCCACCACCATCACCCCCACCCCCTCCCCACCACCACCATCACCCACCCCCCCCCCCACCACCATCACCCACCACCCCTCCCCACCACCACCATCACCCACCACCCCCTCCCCACCCACCACCATCACCCACCACCCCCTCCCACCCACCACCCCTCCCCACCCACCACCATCACCCACCACCCCTCCCCCCCCACCATCACCACCACCCCTCCCCCACCACCATCACCCACCACCCCCCCCACCCACCACCATCACCCACCACCCCCTCCCACCACCACCACCATCACCCACCACCCCCTCCCCACCCACCACCATCACCCACCACCCCCTCCCCACCCACCACCATCACCCACCACCCCCTCCCCACCACCACCATCACCCACCACTCCCCCCCCCCACCCACCACCATCACCCACCACCCCCTCCCCACCCACCACCATCACCCACCACCCCCTCCCCACCCACCACCATCACCCACCACCACCCCCCACCACCACCATCACCCACCACCCCCTCCCCACCCACCACCACCATCACCCACCACCCCCTCCCCACCCACCACCATCACCCACCACCCCTCCCCACCCACCACCATCACCCACCACCACCCCCCCACCACCACCATCACCCACCACCCCTCCCCACCCACCACCACCATCACCCACCACCCCCTCCCCACCCACCACCATCACCCACCACCCCCTCCACCCACCACCATCACCCACCACCCCCCCACCACCACCATCACCCACCACCCCCTCCCCACCCACCACCATCACCCACCACCCCCTCCCCACCACCACCATCACCCACCACCCCTCCCCACCACCCCCTCCCCACCACCACCATCACCCACCACCCCTCCCCACCCACCACCATCACCCACCACCCCCCCCACCCACCACCCCCTCCCCACCACCACCATCACCCACCACCCCTCCCCACCATCACCATCACCCACCACCCCCTCCCCCCACCACCATCACCACCACCCCCTCCCCACCCACCACCATCACCCACCACCCCCTCCCCACCACCACCATCACCCACCACCCCCTCCCCACCCACCACCATCACCCACCACCCCCTCCCACCCACCACCATCACCCACCACCCCCCCCCACCACCACCCCCTCCCCCCCCCACCATCACCCACCACCCCCCCCACCATCACCATCACCCACCACCCCCTCCCCACCCACCACCCCCTCCCCACCATCACCCCCCACCATCACCATCACCCACCACCCCCCCCCACCCACCACCATCACCCACCACCCCCTCCCCACCCACCACCATCACCCCCCACCATCACCACCCCCTCCACCCCCTCTCAGCAGAGGCTGAACCCACCGGGACACTCACTTCTCCCAACAGGCGATTTTGCAAAAGCAGGTACCCAGCAAAAAAAAATCCTACGAACCTACCGCTTCTCCATCAGAGCAGTCCTTTGGTGCAACCGAAATAGAAGCTGCCAGGTGCTTCTTTTATTTTCTTTCTATTGCCCTTGTCCTCTCCTCCTCCTCCTCCTCCTCCTCCCACCCCACTGTCTGTCTGTCTCTCTGGAGAGACTGGTATGCAGGAGGCAGTCTCTCTGCTTGGCTACTTGGCAGCCAAGTGCTGCTGCCCAGCCCTGCCCTGCCCAGCCCTGCCCTGCCCTGCCCAGCCCCGACTGGCAGGGACTGGGGGGGGGGGGGGGGGAGAGAGAGTGGCTCAGCGCTGGCGAGAGGCGGCGACAGCAGCCTGACAAGCTGCTGTGTGGATCCTTACACACACACACACACACACACTGCTCCTGACTGACTGACACTCACTGCAATCAGCTGTGCTTCCTTGCTGACATTTACAGTGTTTGCACAGCGTGTGTCTCAGGTTAACACTCCTCTCTCCCTGATGCTGCTGATGCTGCTGCTGGAGTTGGGCAAGTTTGCAGATGTGACGTGCAGCCCTTCCCCCGTCAATCGCACACCTGAGCCGAGCCCTCACACCGCCCTCCTCCACCAGCTCCCATCACAGCACCTGAGAGCCAGCAGTCAGTCAGTCACTCAAGCCTCTGGGAATGAATCCGAGCACAAGGCAGGTCCCAGGGTGGGTGAGCTCCACTGCACCCGCTTGGCTCTGTTGATAGCAACACTCTCACCTTTAAGGCAGAAGGTCATTGCATTAAAATCCCATTTTGGGATTTGGAACCAGTCTAAGATGCATTGACCCAGATGCCATCGTTCAGAAGAGACGTTCAACTGAGGTCTTGTCTGCTTGGGCGGTGGATGTTAAAGATCCAATGGCACTATTCAAAAAGAGAAAGGCGTTTCTCTCAGTGTCCTGACCAGAAATACCCCAAATCAAATTGGTCATTCACTTTGTGGCTGTTTATTGGACTTTGTATTTGCTTAGAACTACAAATTACATTTGTATAGCGCCTCTTACTTCAGGAGGATGTCCCAAGGCGCTGAAAACATACAATCACAAAACTTTACAAAAAATCGTGTGCAGCACTTTGAGATTTCCTCCTCATCTGAAAGGTGCTATACCAAATGTAAGGCCTATTATTACATTGCTGTCTTGCACATTAGGGATATTAAGCAAATCCCTAATACTGTATGTAGTATGGTCAGGTCTTCAGTCTTTCTGACCCATTCCTCTGGGTCTCCATCCCAGAATCCCTTCGCCTCGTTCCTTCCCTTGCCAGCTCAAAGCTTCTCAAGACTTTCAAAATGTTTAGATCCTTTCTGAAAGGAACAAGAAGTCATAAAGGATATGAAAAGGATTAGAAACGCTGGACCTTCCTCAGCAGGTCCTCAATGTTCACAGTAGCAATAGTGTCATCAAGAGATAAAATGGCAAAAACTCATTGGCAATTATGTTTGTAATGATGATGGTTACTGGCAAAGTAAACAAAAGGAAACCACTCTTCATTCTAGTTGTGAAATCCAAGAGGACATAATCTTAAAACAAGAGCTAAACTGGTGAAATTAAAGCTGTCAGTCTGGCTCAGTTGGCAGCTGTCTCTTGTCTCTAGGTCAGAAAGCTGTGCATTCAAGACTTGCATTGGGGACAATGATTTAGTATGGGGGTGGGGGGGCATAGCATAGTCAGAAGGTGATGCCCTTTAGAATGAGATAGTAAACTAAGATCTCATTTGTCTATTCAGGTGGATGATAAAGAACCAATGACACTACATGAAAAGAGGAAGGAAGTTTCTTCACCATAGTGTCTTATCCTGGAGTCCTGTAGCTCAGTGGTTAGAGCACTCGCTTTGCAAGTGAGAGACCTGAGTTCAATTCCAGGCAGGGCGAAACCTTGGGCAAGTTTCCTTACTCCACACGCCTAATAATAATCCCTCCAAAACCAAAAACAATAATAATAAATTGGTCATGTTCAATCTACGACTGTTTGTGGGACATTGCTGTGCGCAATTGGCTGCCACGTTCGCCCACAAATATACAGTCAATTCACTTTACAGTATATTCTGTGAAGCGCTTTGGGACGTCCTCCCGACATGAAAAGCGCTATATCAAATGCAAGGATTATTATTATTATTATTATTATCCAACAATCCTCCAAAAAGGTCATTCACAAATTAGCTTTTGCCTACAAATACAGAAGAAAAACTCTGTGAAACGTGTTATGGTGTAATAAAGGGCTATATTAAATTAAAATAGATTTTTAACTTGCATTTATAAAACAGACTAAAGGTCTCTGAGGGCCATTGATACAGATTCAAATTAAAGAGAGACAAAGATACTTTCTAAGCAAGAATGTAGATGTCAACTAGCCTGGTTGGTGCCACTCTGGCTTCTGGGTCAGAAGGTTGATGTTGAGGATTTAAAGCAGTCTAAATTTGCTCTCCAATACAGTAGTAAAAGAGAAAGCCATTTCTCCTGATGTTGTGGCCAACAATCCTCCAGAATAATTATTAATCATTCACTTCATGGCTGTTTTGGGACCTTCCTGGGTGCAATTTGGTTGCTGTGTTTCCCTATAAATAATACACTTGGCAGCAACTACACACCAAATCCTATTATTTTGTCATCTGGGTCAAATTTCTCAGACCCTGAGGTAAAAGTGAATACAAAAAAAAACTGACTTCTGGATCATCAAGTCACTGCCAATGTCATTTGTCACCTCCTGCACATTTTGTGCACAGAACCTTTGAAATTTACACAGAAGACCATCACATCTGTGCTGACTCTTTGAAAGAGCAATACATCAATTTCCTTTCACCTGCCTTTTCCCCATAGCTTTGCAAATTACTCCCTTGTATCTAGTTCCCTCTGGAAAGCTAATATGGATTCTGCCTCAACCACATCACCTGGGAGGACATTCCACTTCCTAACAACTCTCTGTGTTAAAAAAAAACTAATTTTCCCCTTTATTTATTTGCTAATTATCTTAAATTGATGCCCTCCGGCCACTTACACTGACTGTGCACAAAAAGCACAGTTGATTTCACATTCTTTGTGAAGTGACATCAGGGGCACTGCTTGTGGGTAGTGTGCATGCTCAGCACACAGGAAGTGATGTTGGTGGTTCTGTGATTAATAATGCTATTGCATTATACTTGTAGGGTGCTTTGAGATGTTTTGAAGTTATTAGGTGCTATATCAAATGCAAAGATTATTTATTTTAAAGTTCAAAGAGGAAAGGCGGGGAGATAGACTCAAGTAATTTCCACAAATGTAATGTCTGATCAGGCTTGTGCTCTTATATGCAACTTATTTGAGGATACCATTCTAATGCTATTGAGATAAAACATTTAACTGAAATTATATGGCAGTAATCAAATTGATAACCTGGCCCAAATGAGTATAAAAAGATGATTAATGAATTCAACAGGTTTCAGCTAGTTCATTCAGGCAGTTTAACATAATTTTATAATGTTTAATATGATGTAGTGAGGAACACCAGTTCTCTTCTCAGTATCATCAAAGCAACTGATTTATTCAAGCACTTTGCGCCAGTAAAAAAATATTAAGTGAAAAAGTGGCAAAGCAACTCGGGAAATGTGTAACATTTTTCTTAAACTGTACAGATAGCTATTCTCCCCTTTATTTATATGGTGACGAGAAGCGAATACTTTGCTAATAGTGGATATGAGAGCACAATGGGAATGAGTCCATGGATTGAGTTGAAGAGTATGAATATGCAAAAAACAATTCCAGTAGCATGGCCTAAGAGATGCTAACCACCAGGCAGAACCCACTGCTGGAAAATTGAGAAAATTGAGAGGTGTGCTGCGAAGTCACACCTCTGACTTCACTATAAATAGTCTCCTTCATATTGGCTGGAGTTATCAGCTTGACACTCATGAGTCACAATTGCAACTAGAAATTGTGAAGACATTTCACACACGCACACCTCTTATGGAAGATCTACTCCTTATGTTGCTAAGTCTTCTCTCCCTCCTTTCATCTTCAATTCTAATATCTTTACAAATCTGCTGTGCATTTCTAGCTAATATGAGTCAATATCTCTTGCACTTATTGGAACAGCTTACCCTTAGAAGACCCGCAGACAGAATTGATTGTGTTTTCCACATAGCCTACTCTCAATTATGCAAATTAATTTTCAATATATTTACTCGCTTATCAATAGTCTCCTCTAGCCCTCCAATTGATTCAATTTCATCTACTGAAGGTATAGTTCTACTTGTAAAAAATTACTTTCCTGTATCTAAGTGGCCATAATTCATTTGTGAGCCAAGATAGTGAATATTGGCTATTTATAATAATCCTTGCATTTGATATAGCAATTTATCACATCTTCGAGATGTCTCAAAATGCTTCACAGACTGCACTGTAAAGAGAATTGATTGTATATTTTGTGTGGTGAATTGTGCACAGCAGTGTCCCACAAACAGTCGTGAATTGAGTAACCAAATTATTTTTATTTATTTTGAAGGAATTATTACCCCCAGAAAAGTGATCCGCCAATCGACTAACAACCAGGTTCCTACTTACTGCTAGTTACCAGAGGTGTGTGGAGTAAGGAAACTTGCCCAATGTTTCACCCTGCTGGGAATCAAACCCAGGTCCTCTCGCTTGCGAGGCAAGTGCCTTAACCACTGAGTTACAGGACTCCACACAGGAGGACCACAACCAAGCCTAATTCTGTCCCCAACATTCATGTTTAACTCCAGGAAAGACCAGTAGCCCCAGCTGATTGTCCCCTCAGCAAAATCAGGAGTCCTGACACCAGTCGTAGTGTCCATGGTTGAGATCAACTAATTCAACACAGATCAGCAATCAAACCTGGGTGGTCTGTATATTTCAATTACTCACTGAATACGTCAAGTGAACCAGGATGCTTAGATGCACAATTTTTTGTTAAACACTTTACTTCAGTTATTTTGAACCATACAGGAACAATTCTACAGCAAACTATGTTGCATGGAAAGCAGCCACACTGGCCATATCAATTTGCTGCCTGTAAATTTGAGTATGGAATCTCTTATTGTCACCACTGCTAATGTCAATACACTCAGCATTGCCCAAGGAAACCTGGGACCTTCCTCATCTGTACGGTCAATCTACA